AATGCCCGGTCCCTAGTCATGGAGCCTAACTTACGGTGAATTACCCTCTCACAACACTCTTATCTGTAGGATTTGGGGCACCTGCAGGCAGAGGCAGTTACCAACAACAGAGAGGTTAGGGCAGCTTTCACCCCGCTAGGGTCCTCGCTGTTGGATGGAGCAAAATATCAGCATGAAGGGCTGGGAGATCGCTTAATGCTCAGGTCTCGCAGGGCCTCCAGATCTTCACTGGCACTGCCCTGAGGACTGCGGCCCACGTGCATGCCCACACCCTGTGCTCACATCACCTCCACAAGAAGAGAACACGCTCCATTCCGGGGTGTCCCGTATGTGCCAGTCTGATCCAACACCAGAGTACCTTTAAAATTCCTTTGTGAAAAAGAAAAGCTGATTGCTTGAGGTGGAACTACTTCCAGCAATATAGAATCCACTGCAAAGCTTCCAGCACTGCCAGATGTGTCTTTATGACAAAGGTAGCGCCTCTGTGATAAAAGTCTCCCGTTTGTTTGTGTATGAAAAGTTGGCACTGTAATTCCAGGGGTGTAATGAAGACAGCGGTTCCTAGAGTACAGATTGCTGTACTAAACTGAAGCAAAGCGCTGTAATGATGGAAACAGCTGGCTGACTACCTGCCAGAAATGCAAATATACTAATTTTTAAAACCCACTCCCTGTGGTTTACCCTTTGCGGGCTGTTCAAAAGCGTATTTGGAGTCATTCAAGACTTCCCATTGTCTCTCCTGGGCTTTAGATTGAGCTCTGAGCAAAGCAACAAGGGAGGATTATCTTATATTTCCATTCTATAAAATTAGAAAGCTTCACAGCGACAGTTGATAGCAGGCACTATAGTAAGGTGTATTTTTCCCCTGTTTACAGCCCAAGGATTGCCAACAGTAAGGCAAGAAAATGTTTCAATGGATGCTCCTTTTTTTAATGCAGGCATTTGTTTTTAGAGATATCAGATGTGTTAGCTCATGAACAGACTCTTGCGTGATGAGCCTTATGGCCACCACAGCTCTGCTTCTCCATTGCCTTGCTCTCTGTGTAGTAATTTACCCTTGTGTAAGTGGCTGTAAAATGCTTCCCCTCTGCATTTGCAGTATTTTTATGTCCTCTTTGCGATTCCTGAGCCTGCTTCCTACTTACTTTTGTAAATCAGCCATCGTATTTTAGAAATGAACAGAGATAGGCAAGTGAAGCAGGACTAAACTATTAGCTATGTGATGAAAAGGAGAGACCGGCAGAAGAATTAAAACAGGCTGGCCTGCTACAGATTTAAATACCTCCCAGAGCCTTCACCTTATATCACAGCAAGTGGTGTTACCTCACTTTCAGGATTGAACCATGGAGATCTTTTTTCTGCTGAAAAGTATTAATATAGATTTAAGAATCTCCTCATGAGTACTTTGTCCCCTTTCCATGGTGCTTTATGCCTGTATTTGCAGAAGGCACACCATGTGTATTCCAGGCCTAAACTCGTCTCATGTTCAGGAGAGAATATTGTTTTATCCAAGAGTGTCTTCTTTTAAACTAACCATATGCCAATATGGATTTTTGCAGCGATTCCACCTCCTACAAACCTGAAGTTTACTCAGGTAACTCCCACCAGCCTTACCGTCAACTGGAACGCACCAAACGTTCGCCTCACTGGCTACAGAGTCAGAGTGAACCCCAAAGAAAAGACTGGTCCTATGAAAGAAATCAACCTTTCTCCGGACAGTACATCTGCTGTCGTGTCAGGATTAATGGTAACTCTTCTTGGTGTAATGCAGACTGTGTTGTGGGAAGGAGATGGTAGGAGAACTTGAAGTGATTTCAAATTTCTAGGTCAGGAACCTCAGCTGGAGTAGATCATTACAGGTCCTAAGGGTCTGATACTGTTTGGATTCTGACTGTGCGTCAGCTGTAACTGCTCGTTACCACGTTTTTTAAAAGGCAAGGAATTGGCCTGCTGAATCTGCATTCTTTCCCCTTCCTCATTTAGTACAGAGAGTCTGGATGTCTTAATCAAATGCAAATTATCAGGTTCACAATCAACGGTAACCCAGTAAAATGCTTTTAGTCATCTTTCACAAGAGAGAGGTCACATCAAGTAACCTAATGCAGAGGTTTTCAAGCTGTGATATGGGAGCTCTTGCCAGTCTATTGCTTGTTTTTAAGACATCTGCAAAATGTAAGTAAAAAATGCAAATCTTTTGTGAGTAGACTTAAATTTGCTATATGGCTGTCTTCTCCACTGGAAACATTTCAGGAGTTTCTGAACTGGAAAAGACTGAAAATCACTGCTTTTATGGTTCCTGCTAGCTTAAAAATCTCCTGATCTGTTTTTAAGGACTTTTATGAGTAATTTTCAAAAATGAGCCTTAAAAAACATTCTAATCCAAGCGGAATGCTGATCTGATGCAGTCAAGGATGAAGGACCACTCTGTAACTTCCACTATTCTCTTCTCACAGCAAGAACACCTTATCATAGCAAATGGCATCCATTAACCCCAGGAAAAACAGGATACAAATTAAGTTTTTCTGAAGAATCAGCTTTGAAGCACAGATTCCAAAATGAGGGTTGACAGATAAGCTTCTTCCAGGATTTCCTCTGCCCTTGGGTGTGCACATGTGCACTCTCTTATTAACAGCAGCCCTGTTTAGCAGGGTCCATCTCTACTTATTTATTACACCTGGAAATAATTAGAATTATCCTGTCAATCCTTCACTGATGTGAATTGTTTTAAGGTTTCGGACTTTAGTAACTGGTGACCAAGAAATGTGGCTTCACCAAACACTAAATGAGGGCAGTATTTCCCACTGTGCCAGGGCCTTCTCATAACACTGTATAACTTTGTCCATTCTAGGTAGCAACCAAGTATGAAGTGAGCGTCTATGCCCTGAAGGACTCTTTGACCAGCCGCCCGGCCCAGGGAGTGGTCACCACCCTTGAAAGTAAGTAGCGATCCTCCACAAATGACCAATTAGCACTGTGCTGGGTGCGGAGGCCGAGATCCTACTCTGTGTCAGAAGGAGGACTCCAGAAATAAAGCTCCAGCACAAGCCTTCACAAACCCTTAGCTGGTGAGATTCACAGTCCCCACTGTACTGACAGGACACCTTTTTTTTCTGGTGCAGATGTTAGTCCCCCTCGCAGGGCCCGTGTGACTGATGCCACCGAGACAACCATCACCATAACCTGGAGGACTAAGACTGAGACCATTACTGGCTTCCAAGTTGATGCCGTCCCAGCGAGTGGCCAGAACCCCATTCAAAGGACCATCAGCCCCGATGTTCGGAGTTACACTATCACTGGTAAGTGCGGGGCTGCTGCAGGTGCAGGAACTTCCAGGGTCATACCAGAAGGTACACTGGGTTCTTATTTTGTAGTTGAATTTCCTTGATGAGAAGTACTATGAGAACGAAAGGTGGGAAAAGATACCTGAATCATAATGACTAGTCTCAAAGAAGAAGCTGTCGAAAGGCATTCTGCTGCACTTTTTAGATGGCTTGCTTGATTAGCTAATATTTATGTTTCAACTTCATTTTAGGCTTGCAACCTGGCACCGACTACAAGATCTACCTTTACACTCTGAACGAGAATGCACGCAGTTCCCCAGTAGTGATTGATGCCTCCACAGGTAATGATCTTGTCTGACTTTTCTGTGCATGCTAACGCATCATAACATACTCCTGAGTTTGAGAAGGGTGTCAGAAGATGCAGTTCAGGTGAAGAATGTGCTTGCCTTTACTGCTTTTGATTTGCTTCCTTTTGTTTTCACCTAGCTATCGATGCTCCATCTAACCTGCGCTTCCTTACGACGACAAGCAACTCCCTCCTGGCTACCTGGCAGCCTCCACGAGCCAAGATCACAGGCTACATCATCAGATATGAGAAACCTGGCTCGCCAGCCAAGGAGGTTCTGCCTCGTCCTCGGCCCGGCACCACGGAAGCTACTATTACTGGTACCTCTCTCTGATTCATTTGGGAGCTCTTCACCTGAAATACTTAAATTTGAAGAAACACATTATAAAATGTGTTGGCGGTCAGCTAAGAGAAAGGCAAAATTCTGTTCCTTTATTGTGGTTTCTAATGACAGTGGTTCTGTAAGCACACCTGTCCCACAAACACGATACACTTCGCTGATCAGATCAACCACCAGATTTGAACAATCCACAGGCTTTTCCACTGCCACTGCAACTGTCATCCATTCATGGAGAAAGGCCATAAGTGGCACCTCATCAGTCACACTTGCTCAAGATTCATTGTTTTTTGTCTGCAGCATCCATGATCCCAGCTGACATCGTCAGTTTTCAGACTTGCTCTGAGGAGCAGGAGGCTGCAGTCTTTGTACTGTCCTGAAAACCTCACATCCAGAAAGCACATACCCATACTATAGCCATATCCACCTCTCACTCTACCTTAGATCCTACATGTAATGGTACAAGAAAAGCAACTCTTATGATTGCTTTATGTCCTTCCTCTCTCCCTAGGTTTGGAACCAGGAACTGAATACATCCTCTACATCATCGCTGTGAAGAACAATCAAAAGAGCGAACCACTTGTTGGCAGAAAAAGGACAGGTAAAACAAAGCTCTGGATTGTTGTGTGCCAAGAGGAGATAATATCTTCTACTTGGCGAGTACAGTCTCAGGACTGAAATAATAATGTTATTTAAAATATACTGTTCACACAATTCAGCCACACCTTTTTAATGAGCCAAAAAGGCTTTGTAAGGGGGTTTTCCTTTCTAGGACATAGGAAGTAAGATTCTGAAGTTACATGAATCACATTTAGCTGCGTTTGAACACTAAGAACAGAACATCGTGCTTGGTGCTTGATTTTGCCGGTACCTAATTGATAATTACCTTAGGGTTAACACATGACTGGCGAGCACATGATGGCCTCAGAGGCGGAATCGAATCATTTGTTGCCTGTTGCATTTCTCTTTACATCCTCCACAGCATGAGACTGAAATACCTGTAGCAAGCAAAATATCAGCGGTATATCCAGATGTGATCAAGGAGCTAGTTTCTTACTGCACACCGATGATTTTTCTTACACTGATAACCTGTCAAGATCTCTTATAATCATTTCTTCTTCTCAGTTTGAGCAGTGGTGGCTTCTTTGGGTTGCAGTGTTCAAAACCGTTGCTCCGCTGTATGAAAATTTCATACCAACACACTTTTTATGCCTATGTATGAAAGACATACATATATTTATATAGGGTATAAATAGAGATGGAAATTACCTTCACAGTCACACAAAAAGTCATAAAAAGTGTGTTGTATCTTGGGATGATTGCTGATCTTTGATGCTCGGAGTGGTGTACAGCTCTAGCAGTTTAATTTGCAATTATTAATTTGCCACGCTTTGCTTTATGGCTTCTAACCTTTCTTTGGCTAGATGAGCTTCCCACGTTGATTACCAGACCGCACCCCAACCAACCTGACATTCTCGACGTACCTTCCATTGACGACGGGACCCCTTACCTCACAAACAATAGGTATGACAATGGGAACGGTATCCAACTTCCAGGCACCTCTGGGCACCCGCAGACAATAGGACACCAGGGCCAACAAGTCTTCTTTGAGGAGCACGGCTACAGACGGCCTGTGCCCACTACAGCAACTCCCCTTAGGCCGGGGTCAAGGAGGCAACCACCGAACGTAGACGAAGCGATTGAAATCCCCGGGTACCAAGTGCCTATCATAGTCGAACCTTCGTACCCACACTCCCGTGGGCCCAGGCGCAACGACACCACAGGTCAAGAAGCTCTTTCTCAGACAACTATCTCTTGGAGGCCGTTGCTGGAGAGCTCCGAATACATCATCTCCTGTCAGCCAGTCAGCCAGGATGAAGATACTCTGCAGGTAACTGACCTGTCTCGGCAGGAGCGGTGTTAGCCTCACCTGGGGAAGCATATGTTTCTTGGGAGTCCAGACCTCTACTGTGCTAAGGGGCTGACAGTTGGAATTGGTTTAAAGAGTCCTATTAACCTGTGACTGAGACCAGGATAAATGCCTCCCTCCTCTCCTTCGAGGAGAAGGCTACAGGGTAAACCTGCTAAAACAGAAAGCCCTTGAAATGCTGTCAGGATCAACATTTCACCAGGGAAGGGGGCAGTCGGGAAGACAGTTGGGAGTTTTGAAGACTATTGTGCTGCTTCTTCAAGCCAAAGACTCCCTTAGCCCTTCTCTTTTGTCTCGCTTGGTTTCTGTTCCCCTGAAATGGCAGAAATAACATATCCCTTATGAACCAGAGCCCAGAGTAGTTAAGTTTAACTTGGTATTGTTTGAAGTTCTCAGAATATCTAAGAGGAATGGGCTGGCTCCATTACAATATAGAGCATAGAAGCCAACCAAAACACGCTGTCTTTTCTACAACTGGGGTGATGCTTAAGGAGTAATCGCTCTTCCCCTTCCGGTGACTTGGAATTGCCTCCTGTTGCAGTTCAGGGTTCCTGGAACTTCCTCCAGTGCTACACTCACTGGTCTTACAAGAGGGGCCACCTACAACATTATAGTGGAAGCCCTGAAAGATCACCGGAGACAAAAGGTGCTGGAGGAGGTGGTCACAGTTGGCAACACTGGTACGTAAAAGCTTTACGGAGTCTTGGTGAACCTGTCGCTCCCTCATTTTCCTTCTCAAGGCAACCTATGTGGTGCCCAGACTTGAGAACTGTTCAGAAAGGAAACTTCTCCTGACAATTAAGCACTTAAAAGCCACGTGGCCAACCACAAGTACTTGCGGTCTGCAACAGCACTTGTGGCAACTGTAAAGCCCAGAGCCCACATAGTAGGACCTGAAGTCTGCTTTTACCTGCACCCGGGTCTGATCAACTACTCTTTCTCTCCCTCCCATCTCCTCCTGTGTGTGTTCTGTGGTTAAAATGAAGAGGGTAGGATGGGATAAGAAGAAATTAAGAGTTAAGGATTTAATAAGCTGCTCCATGCAGCCTCCTACGGCGCCCACCTCGCTGGAAAATAAGGCTGTTCCTCCCTTCCAGCACCCCAGTTGCCTTACGTCTGTCACAGACGGAACATTAACTCTTGACCTTGATCATCACGCGCTGAACTAACCGGTAGTTGTAAAACATTTGCCTTCCAATCAAGGCTCACACCTAGGGTGGAAGTCAATCTGTCCAACAGCATGGTGTGGTTTCTTTCTCCCATCCCTCTGGCATGAGCTGGAGTCTGAAGTGCACCAAAAAAGTGCACGTGCAGCTGCCACCCTCCTGCTGTTGCCCAGCATCGCACAGCATGTTTCTCTTAAAAACAGGCTAAGTCAAGTTGTTGCTCTCCAGCAGCAAATGCAGAAACTCACACTTGCTTGAAACTTGGCAAATCAAAATGAAAATAGCCTTCATGTCAGGTTTTTTTATCGTTCAACTGCTCTGACACATGCAAATGGAAAATAAATCACAGGAAGTCTGGACTGCTGATGGAACCATCAAGTGTATGCCCATGGGGTAGCTCCATTACTGCCAGGATATTTTAAGGCGGGGGGGAAAAAGCATGTATTCAGTGAAAATCATTCTGTCTTTCAGTAGTTCCTAGTGCTGTGTGTGATGCCTGTTTCTTCTCTTTTTGTTCCAGTGTCTGAAAGAATAAACCAGCCGGCTGATGACACCTGCTTCGATACTTACACTGGCTCCTTCTATTCCATTGGCGAGGAATGGGAGCGGTTATCTGAAACTGGCTTTAAACTCTGGTGCCAGTGCTTAGGCTTTGGCAGTGGTCATTTCAGATGTGATTCTTCTAGTGAGTAGCTTGCTTTTGACCCACCCCCTGCCTCCAGGCTCCTCAAGCACTGATGACATGTTTGACAGAACCAGCCTGATCCAAACATGATGCAAATGAATTCAGGCTCTAACGTTTTTAAAGGAAAAGCAGTGTTTTGCATCATGAGAAGTGATGGAAAACTGTGGTTACTTCTGAGCCGTGCAGCTTAGCTAATATTGCCATTTCCTGCATTGGCAACAATCAGTTTTCTATTGATGCGCAATGACTTTTTCACCAAAGTTAAATGTTTGTTTTATTTTCCCTACCCTTGCTAGGTGTAAAAGTGAGATAGGCAAGATGCCTAAGGGACAGTATCTGAGTAGCTGTTTAAGAAGACAGCTTTGAGTATTAAATTATGGTTGAATTTTCATCTACTAATTATATACATGGTTGCAGCAGGCCAGGCAGAACTTGTGTGGATTTCAGTGGGTGTTACAGCAAGTACAGAGTCTGTTTTGCATTGCAGACGGCCTTTGCAAAGCATCTCACGGAACCAGTTTTCCGATTTTTTCAGCTGCTTTTTGAAGCTCTGTCAAGCAGGCAACATCTCTGCCGGGGTACTAAGTTTTGTTCTTTGCAGGATTGTGGTTTACATAGAAGAATAGCAACTTCGTGCAAGGGAATGGAATAAAAGTCTGTGATTGAGTGGTTTAACACAACACATACCCAACTAATTTAAATTGTGCTTTTAAATTGTGGAGTAAGCTGAGCGAAGAGGGTGTTTGCAGTTTGCGTAGGCTCAGAGGGGTGACTGCAGAGAAGACACTTGTTTTACAGGATTAATATTTATATTTCATCATTTGATACACATGGATTACCTGTTATGTTTTGCAGTGTCTACGATATAATTTTTCTGGGTATTTGCTCAAAAAAGAGCATTTAAACTCTTTTTCTCTCCCTTCCTGTCCCATGTCTATTAAATTCCATTTAATTTCTCTTCCTCTCCTATTAGCCAACCCTCTTTTCTGCCTCCTCGCTCTTTGTCACACCCTACGTTTTTCGCCCCAACAATCTCTGTCCACTTCCTAAAGCTGTACCAGTCCTCAGCCGTTAAAGGCTGCAACGCATTTCCAGTAGGAACCCATTTCCTCCTTGGGACTTACATGAGCTGAAAAGATTCTTTCTCCTGCCCCTCTGTTAGTTCTTGAGACAACACCAAGCTGTTCTCCTCCCACACTGTCACTGTGGCGTGGGGGATAACTCCTGCCTCTCTTGTTCCTCTGCCTGCTCCAGAGTGGTGCCACGATAATGGTGTAAACTATAAGATTGGGGAGAAGTGGGACCGGCAAGGGGAGAATGGCCAGATGATGAGCTGCACCTGCCTTGGAAATGGGAAAGGAGAATTCAAGTGTGAACCTCGTAAGTCTCCTCCTGGTGTTAATTTTGAGTTCCCATTCAGGCAATTTCAGCATCTCAGGGCCGTTCCCATTAATTTTTGGTCCTGTAAAGGATCAGTGTATCTGGTTCAGGTTTGGGAAGCTGAATTGGTGGGAGGTTGAATCTGTTCTCACAAGAGCTGAAGGCGTAAAACTCACATTCCCAAGCCTGAAAAGAAGAAAACTCCCTTTTGTTAGCTGAGGTCACAGCAACCCGGAATCTGTCTGCCTTTGGCCCTGGAGCCACACAAGAGGGCCGTGTCACTGCATTAAGTGGTGTAATTACCCTAATCAGTAATGCAGGACTTTTCTGCAGGGCCTGTTGCCTCAAGATCCTCTAGACTTCACTCTTGTAAATTAAACCATATTGCTCTTGTCAGGCAAATACCCTCATGCTCTACTTCAAAGCTGGAGAGCTACAAAAATGACTGATGTTCCCCCTGTCAGTCAGTGGGCCTCCAGTCAAACAGGGAGAGCGCACTGGCCAGAGGCTCCTGTTCGCATCACCCAGCTGCTCTGAGAACGCTTAGAGCCAAGCATCAGCCACGCAACTGAGCTCTACCTGTTCCTCCACAGATGAGACCACGTGCTACGATGATGGGAAGATGTACCAGGTTGGAGAGCAGTGGCAGAAGGAGTACTTCGGGGCCATCTGCTCCTGCACTTGTTACGGGGGACAGCAGGTAAGCAGGAGGGACTTGATGTGCTGAACACAGGGAACAAAGAGAGGAGGTTGTGCTGGAATGCAGTTCTGAGACTGCTGGGTTTCAGGTCAGATGGTGCCTAATGCCTGGCCGAAAGAAGCCCATAGAAGAAAAATAATTAGTAAGAGAGATTAAGTACTTGTGTGGTATAAAACGGGAGCAACCTCACTGGCGTTGCTGGAGCTGTAGCCACACGTATTGATACTGGCAGCAGCTTGGCCGTCCACGTGAGCGTGCTCTGACTGGTGCCCACGTGTTCTGTTTCTCCAGGGCTGGCGTTGTGACAACTGCCGCAGACCCAGCGTGGAGGTGGCCCCCGAGGGCTCTGCTGGCCATACCTACACACAGTTTACACAGAGATACCACCAGGCGACAAACACCGTGAGTACACTTCCCCTTCTCTACTCTCCCTTAGTGCGGTCCGGTCTATGGCACAGATACGTGGATCTGTATTGGGCTCAAGGGCTAAGAGCAGCGTGTAGCTTTCTGCTTGGTTAAAAGCGCATGAGAACCACCGATCCAGCAAACTGTCACGCTGCACAGCACAGAATGCACGCTCAAGTTCACGCTTCCACATGTGGCGTTCAGCACCGCACCCACGTCAGCGGGACTTCTCCTTTCGTAGCGCTGGGACGCGCCTGCATGCTCCGGCTGAGGCAGTAGTGCATGTAGTGATTTCCTAGCCTTCACTTGCTGCTGTAAACCAGCTGTGTACTTTGTGCTGAGGAAGCAGGACAGCTCTGCTGGCCGGCAACGATTCTCAGCCCAAAGCACACCACGGAAGTGGCTGTCCTCACAGGACAGAGCGCTAACTGATTTCCTTCCCTCCTGACAGAACGTCAACTGCCCCATTGAGTGTTTCATGCCCCTAGATGTACAGGCAGACACACAACATCCACGGGGAAAGTAACATCCAGCAAGACTTCTTGCGGCACTGGCAACAGGCAAACCAAAGCATAATTACCTATCTGCCACGATTACCATCCAAACTGGAGTGATGCTAGCAAAACTGCATCTTTTGAGAATGGCCCCCTGCTCTGGAGCCATTTTCCCAGCTTAAGCTCAACTCACAGCTTCTCCAAGCGCCACTCTTGGAGTGTTTCAGACTTTTCTCGTGATTGATAGCAATTTGTCTTGTTTTTTGCTCAAAGTGTTGACTACCAGTCAGTATTTTCAAATCTAAAGGAAACAGTGGGGAGATGCTAAATCACAAATTGGTGGGGGGATCAAAATGTTAAGGGTGGGGGGGGGGGGGGAGAAATTCAAGGTTCCCGGGCTATGAAAAGAAC